GGGGGAGGAGAGTTGGGTGCAAACCTGTATCAGGTTGCAGTGTAGGATCACGGCCACGGCCAGTGGATGCTTGAACTCTCCAAATGTATTGTATCACATTTTGAGTGGAAATTCATCAAGCCCTGATTCTTGTGTTATCTCTCGGGCATGGTGTGAACTTTCATGCGAATGCTGTCTTCATGCATGGTCTGCATATACATGAGAGGCGTGGTAAATAAAAAGAGCAATCTTCAAAAAGAGCAACCTTCAAAAAAGCCAGAAGCGAGAAAGAAAAGAAAGAACTGCACACAAAAAAGGCAAAAATATGGACGACAGAGAGGATGGTGGGGATAAGGTGGGTGATGACATGGAAGACCTAGCTTGTGTAATTTTAGCACAACTGTTGCCATAACAGCTGGCATGTCGGTTACAGGCTAGAAGAACTCTCTCTCTCTCTCTCTCTCTCTCTCTCTCTTTCTCTCTTTCTCTCTCTCTCTCTCTCCCCGCTGACCATGGAAGGTGCCGAACTTTGCGGCTGGCTTGGGAATGAGGGCGAGGTAGGGCGGAGGGTGAGTGGGGCCAAGGGAGGGCAAAGGGTGAGTAGGGGTAGGGGAGGGTGGCGATGCAAGGCTTGAGGTCAAAGGGTGAGTAGGGGTAGGGGAGGGTGGCGATGCAAGACTTGAGGTTGGCTGTATAATCTGAGGAGACCTGAAATATTCCTAGACAATCCGAGGGAACCCAATACAGTCCAATACAATCCAATTCAATTTAATTCGATCCAATTCAACCCAATACAATCCAAGGCAAGCCACGAGAATCCAAGACAAAGATGGAGATAATCCGAGGAGACCTGAAATAGTCTAGACATGGGCAGTGGTGCATTGCCATTCTTTGTTGGTGGAGTAATTTGTCTCGTTAATTCCGTTGACGAACAAGACCTCAGCGTGCTAACGCACCAGTTCAGTGAGTGAATCATCATGTCGATCAAATTGAATTCTATCTTGCTTATGGTTGTTGTCGTGTCGCTGCAAGGCCGAACGAACACATACTGATGCGAAGACTTGCGCCCTGGAAGCGAGAGAGTGGAGCTTGAGTGGGAAACCCAAACAAAAATACAAACAGACGAAAGAAAGCGTGCACAGACCCCAGTTGTTATTTTGTCTGGGTCATCGTTATGCATCTTATCATGCTTGCAAAGTCAAATAACATCAGGAAGGAAAAAAAATCCTAGACAATCCAACGCAATCCACAACGCAATCCACAACGCAATCCAACACAATCCAAGGTAATTCAAGGTAATCCAAGATAATCCAAGATAATCAAAGACAAAGAGAGATATCTTAGCTTTGAGAGACATTGGGTGATGCGTAGAACGTACATACGCTGTCATGTACTTGTTGTTTTCTTTTGCAATTGACACATGAGTTTTCTTCGCACTGACCTGTCTGCTGTCTTTTGTCTCCCAGGAATGAAGCTGCAATTTTGCAAGTTCGATACAATTCTGACTATGTTTCCGGCCGGGAGCTTAATGAGGCTTATGAGAAGGTAAAAAAAAGAAGAAAGAAAAAAAGTTGGCTCATTTACTACTGTCCTCAGTTTCTATCACTCTCCTGAGTCCCAAGTTCTCCCAACCTGTGTTACCGACCGGGACACCTGGGTGGCCCGGCCGGGCCAGGACCAGGCAAAGTCCTGTCACGGTCCCGGGCAGTTCCATCGCAAAAAAAAAAAAAGCTAAAAAAAATAAAAAATCAACAAAATGAAAAATCTGAAAGAAAGACTATGTCATGCAGAATTGCAAGCCAAGAAGCTTTTGGCTGAGGGTCACCCTGAAATTCGTTATGGAATCTGGAAAAAAAAAAAACAAAAAAAAAAACTACACTATATCATACCCCTTTACACCCCTGTATGCCACTTTACGCCCCTTTACCCCCCTTCAAGGCTTCAAGCCCTTTCTAACCCCACGTATACCCCCCTTTGGTGAGATATCACCAAATTCAAAGATAAGGCCAGATTTGGGCCCGTCTCAGCAGGCGCAAAATTGCCCCACTACCTAGGCTACCAGAGTGGGCCGGGTCCACTTGCCCGGCCGGCCAAAAAGAAAAAGAAAATAAAAAATAGAAATTATTTTTTATTTTTATTTTATTTTAAATTTGGTAAAGAATTTGGATGTGACCCTGAGGCAAAAGCGGGTCAGTTTATTTTTCAATTTTTTCTGCATAACATAGTTTTTTTTCCGGATTTTTTGGAGTTTTTTTTTTTGTTTTTTGGCTGGGACCTTCCCTGGTCCTTGCACGGCCGGGCCGCCCGGGAAAATAGGGTGACCCGGCCGGCGCGGCTGGTAGCCTACCCCACTGCCGGGAAAAAAAAGGTCCCCCTTTTTGGTGTCTCCCGGGTACCCCGGGCGGGTCACCCCCCGTGCAAGTTCGCCTGGGTTGCCCAGCCAGGCGGTCCTGCCCGAGTGAGCCTGGTAACACAGGTCCCAACTGGTTTCTGCGGACTACCCAGATTTTATGTTTGCATAATTGATTCCGAAAATCAATGACCAGAATTGGATGGCCAAAGCTGGGTGTAAGGGAACCATGGTTGTGAGAGACCTGCTTGCATCTGCTGTCTGTTACTGGCCTTTCTTCCCTCTTTTTTTTTTTTTTTTTTTTTTTTTTTTTTTGATCCGTGTCCATCCGGCGCCGCCACTTGCATCTCGTCTTTTTTCATCAATGTTATTCTTAATTTATACTCTCCATTTGTTTAAATTTGATTATCATTACCGCACCAGAGTCACCACCCAAGGCTTGAACCGGTAACCATTCATCTTCTTGCCCCCCTTGTTCCGTTCAAAAAAAAAAACAAAGGAATAATTAAAAAAAAAAAAAAAAAAAAACACTGTATCAGTTCTCAAGTTCTCAGCACGCCACTCTGCCGTGTACTTTGTTTTAATATCGGTCTTGCGGTGACTCTTGCCATTTTAGAGATTCGATCTCTGAGCTGTTTATCGACACTTACATGTGTGTAGTACTGTGTACCAGTCAGCCACATTCCATCCTTTCTTCTGCGGTAGCGACTTACAATTAAGCCGTGTCGGGTAGCCATGTCAGGTTGCCTGTTTGTCGATCCGCAACGTATTGTGCGATGTGATTGCCAAGGCCAGATAGAAGTGGACATGTCGCCTTGCTGATCGCCGATCGTGTGATGGTGGTGTCATATCTGCCATGTGTCATAAATTCTGACTCATAATGTGTCGTCCATCATATGGTTGTTGCCCTGCAGTGTAGCGGTCCCTTCATTTCAACGGTTCTTTTTTTTTTGTTTATGACTTTATAGGTATTTACTATTTACTTAATCGTTTTAAATAAACAGGTCAACCCGCGGCGAAGCCGCGGCGCTACAATCATAAACTTACTGACAGTGTACAAGCCCATTAACCAGCCAGGGGAGGCTCACCTGGGTTCTGGTGTATGGGTGGATGCTGGGAACTGCGGAGGGTCTTGGATTCTGCGTGAATGCTGCTGCCTGCGGAGGATCTCATGGATGTCGCATGTTGACGAGTAAGTCCTTGCTGCAACGGTGCTGAGGCGGGCTGAATGCCACGGCCGGTATGGCTTCAGTTTTTGAACACCGGGTCACCGTTGCGGTGGTAAAGGCACCTGGCTGTTATAGCCGAGGTCACCGGTTCAATTCTGTCTGGCTGTGGAACGATCACTGGGCTACAATGATAAACTTACTGATGGCGCTGACCCCACCCCGGGCACAGCAGGGTAAATAGTAAATACAGAAAATGGGAAAACCTCACCCTCCTGCTGCTATGAACTTGTATTCGAACGTGCGAGCACAGGTTTCGTCGGAACACAAAAAAAAAAAACGAATCTGTCGAGCTCGGGGAAGGTCCTAAAAAAAAAACGAACTGACGAATCTACTGTGCCGCCCTATACACTTGTATTCAAACATGCGCCGACAGGTGCAAGAGCTACGCGAACAACAAAAACGACAGCTGCCCTGGGCCCGGGCGTGGGTCCAACTTGGAAACGGGTTTCGCGGGACAGCAATCACGCTGGACCCGGTTTAGTCTTTAATAAGGATATATCAGGTTGAACCCCCCGACGGTCGGCGGCCCTTGACTGGTCGGCTACCGACCCGCCGACCGATCGGCTGGTCGGCACCTACCGGTCGGGGGTCGTCGGCACCCCTCAACTCCTAATAACACCACCAACACCCCCATAGCGGCCCCCAATACCCCCATACACCCCCCCAACACCCCCAAACCACCCCCAACATCCCCATTACCCCCCCCAGTATCCCCTATATCACCCCTACACCCCCCTATACCCCCCCTATACTCCCAACCCCAACCCCCCCTATATCCCCAAAAGTTTCTCAGCGGATTTGGGCTGTACTCAGCAAGCGCAGTACAGCCTCCAACTCAGACTTGAAAGAAAATCAGTGGATTGTTGTTTTTTATTTTTTTTTCATTTCTTTGTTTTTGTTTTTTTTCTGACTGGTCGGCAGACTGCCGAACGGTCGGCCCTACTGGTCGGCTGCAATACGGTCGGCGGTCGGCAGGGATGCAACCCTGAAGGATATAGATAAGAAGACTTTCAGAATATAATAATATATCGTTGACATGGGCATTACATGAAGCTGGGAGCTCTGTGGCTGGTTGCTCCCCACTATAAAATATGCAGTGAGGGTGCTGGTAGGCAGGTCTTTAGGAGGGACCTGGAGGGCCCTTAGGCACTTCTCAATGCGGGAAATGTCAGCTATGGTACCCAAACGGCATGAAATGTGTTGGGCCTTCAAAGCTGCTGCAAAAAAGGGTACCTTCTTCTTCCTAACACTATGCGTGGTCGTTATATCCTGCACGTGGCCCAAAAGTGGGACTAAGTAGGGGATGGAGACAGTGAGATGGGGGGAGAGGCCAAGGCCCATGGGCCTCTTTCACTCATTACCTGGTGTACTTGCCCACTATAAGGCTCTTCTGGCTTAAAAAGCTTTTTGAAATTTGACATTACCTTTCTCCTCTTCCTCCTCCTTCCGCCTTCTTCCTCCTCCTCCCCCTGTCCCTACCCCAACCCCTGACACGTGAGCACGAACTTGGCCATAAAACTGGTGATATTCGTGCTGACAAAAGAACGAAAGAAAGTTGAGGTGTCAGGTTCGGCTCCCATGGGTGCTATGTTTATTGCATGTTAGCATGAATATCGCCAGTGCTTCCTAAGCACAGACATCAGACTAATAGGGCCAATGATTGATGTTTCTCCCTTGAAACGTCTCTGCTCATGTGGTGCGGTTGGCATCCATCTCTCAAAGGGGTGCTGGATGGGGCCTTTGGAGCCTTCCGCGTGTCAGCCTGCCAGGTATCTCTCTGAGTAAAATGACAATCGCATGTGCTCTCCCTCTCGTGCCTTCTGATGACTCGTGACGAGTACTGGGAAATTCTCATGACTTCATCTCCGTTGTTCTTTTTTTCTTAACCTTTTTCTGATTTTCTGCGATTGAACGTTGTCTGATCTGTCTCCTTCAGCAAAACCCCAACTACTACGCAGAAAAGGAAGTTGACACGGGAGAGGAGACTCTCACGAAGGTCGCTTACCGAGAAGCAGCAATCTGTGTCTTGGAATGCTACTTCCCCGAGACGAAGCAGTACCTACTCAAGGTGAGCGTCGTAGGGAGACAAATCAGGAACCTGATCAGGAATCTGCACCAGGGACAATCAGGAACTTGAATGCCGATGATGATACAGTAAAGGAGGGAGGAAGACACCGGAATCGGAATCGACTGGAGAAAAAGACGGAATTAGGAGGAGGAGGAGGAGGAGGAGGAGGAGGAGGAGGAGCTGTCTCTTATACACATCTAGATGTGTATAAGAGACAGGAAGAGAGAACACTGAAGAAGATGGTGAGCAGTAAAGGAGGCAAAGGAGAGTTAGGGAGACGAAGGAGAGTGAGGGAGGAGAAGGAGAGCGAGGGGGGAGAAGGAGAGCGAGGGAGGAGAAGGAGAGCGAGGGAGGAGAAGGAGAGTACGGGAGGCAAAGGAGAGTGAGGGAGACGATAAGAAAACGAAGAGAAGGGAGGAGAAGAAGGACGAAGATGGTAAACAGGAAGGAGATAGAGGAGGACCAGAGGAAGGATGGGAAGGAGAAGGGTTAGAATACGAATAAGCGCATGGAGAAAGACAACGAGGGGAATAAGGGTAGTAGTAGGAGGAGAAGGAGGCGGAGAAGAGGAGGAGGAGGGATGAACACAAGTGTTCCTCTCTTCTCGAGTCTTTTCTCTCTTTTTGGGGGAAGGAAACATTCGTGTTGGGTGTTTGGAAGGGTGTGTTTATGATGATTACGTCTTTCATAAGTTTATTGGAAAAAGCGTTTTGAACTTTTGAAGAGGATCATTTTTATCGACTGAACTTCAATGAAGTTGAATTGCAAGGCCAACCACTGAGCAATTTGGGGAAATAAATAAATAAATGGCCATGCCATTATAAAACGTACAATGAAGTGCTTGTTGAGTTATATGATGTGCCTGGACACTTTGGAAAATGACGTTGAGGGAGAAGCTGCAAGTCTGAAAAAGGGTTGCAACTTGCAAGCATATCAGAAGGGAATTTTGTGGTGTTTTGAAGCATGCTGAAATATTTTCTCTGGTTTATCTCTTGTTTTGGCAGACTGATGTCAATGGCAGAGCGCAATTCCCAAACACTCAGTTTGGCTACAAAACTTCGCGGACGTTCTCTACAAAGGAGTCGATGATTCAAGCATTGGTGCGACAACCTGCACGTAGGTCAACTGTTTCATTCTATGAAACGTACACTTTCGCTTCCGTGTTTGCTCTCTCTCTCTCTCTCTCTCTCTCTCTCTCTCTCTCTCTCTCTCTCTCTCTCTTTTTTTATACACATATAGAGAGAGAGAGAGAGAGAGAGAGAGAGAGAGAGAGAGAGAGAGATGTGACTTCAAGCATCTTGCTTGGGGTCTAGTGCTATGTGAGTTGGCCATGAAGGGGGCAGATATAGCCCGTTTGTCTTTGGAAGGACAAAATTAGCCTGGTCCGGATTCCAGATCATGCACCTGGTCGCATTTGTACATCATGTGCAGATCATGCACCTGGTCGCATTTGTACATCATGTGAGATGACAACCTAGCCCTCTGCAATTTCCATTTGTTGAATGTCGCTCATGATTCATCTCTTTGGGTCATCCACAGATTTTGCGGCTCACAGTGCACCCTTAATACGACTGTATCAGACCGGATTTATAGCTTGCATACGTGCACAATTATTGATCACTCGTTAAGTAAGATTATGTACGTTCAATTGGAGAATTGAGTGTATCTAAAGTGACAGAAAGAAAGGCACTAGAAAACAACACTCCACTTGTTTTTCGAAGCGGTCGCACAAATTGTGTGTATCTCAAGTGATAGAAAAGAAAGGCACTAGAAAACAACACTCCATCACTTAGTTTTTTGAAACGATCGCACAATTCAACCGTTTTTTTTTTTTTTTTAAATATATAAAACGATTGAACCTCTTTTTCATAAACCCAAGATTTATGCGTGGGATCTCGTTGATCTGGTTTGGTTATTTGAACCTTTTTTAAACCTTTTTTCTATATTTATTATGTTTTTCTGGGGGGGGGGTGGGATGGGATAGAGGGGCGGGCAATTAATCAACACACCCACACAGTTATTTCATTCAGTTACGAATTACTACGAGCCCCTCTACCCCATAACTAAATGGGGGGGGGGGATGCGGTAGAGGGGTGGGCAATTTGTTGTTGTGTGAATTTCGAAGTTTGTCTGATAATTTTATTGTTACCTGAAGTGGATAATGGCACAGGACCTTTTTCTTATTTTTTTAACTTTTTTTTTTTTTTTTTGAAAAGGTTGTGACATGACCTATTTCATCCAGGTACAGAGTACCACAAACTATTGATGGTATTTGAACGTTGAAGTTTGTGTGGTAATAATTTTATTTTTATCTGAACTGGGTAAATGACAGGACCAAGGTTGTGCGACCTGAAGAAGGGACCGGAGTAACCTTTGATGACGTGGCAGGCATTGATTATGTGAAAACGGAACTAATGCAAATTGTGGAAATGCTGAAGTCTGACGATAACGAGTACACACAGCTTGGATTGTACTGTCCAAAGGTATATATACACACAACTCGGGCACCACCTCTTTTCTTTTTGTTTTTTGTGGGGAAGCACCAACATATAGAGCCTTGTTCTTGATTCTATTTTGACGACACGTATCCTGGTTTGCTTTCCTTTTTTTTTTTTTTTTAGTTGGTTTGTGCATCCGTTGCCAGGATCATCATCACTCTGGGAATAGAAAGATGTTTGATCCTAGGGATGTATGGATATCCTTGCGTACGAGCGGGGAGACATTTAAGCCCAGTCAGTGCAAAAGGGGCGTGAAAGTGCTCGGTGCTTAAGGCTTGGACACAGAAATAAATTTAAAAATAATAAATGAAATAAAATAAAATGGAAAAGTAAACTAAAGTGAAATCTGCATGAGGATTGAACTTTCTACAGAGTCCTGCAGATTTCACAGCTTATTTTACTTTATTTCACAGCTTATTTTGCTCGAATTGACTGTTGGTGATCTGTTTGTAACTTCATAATGATTGGACATGTGTTTGTAACCAATTCTTTGTCTCTACTTTGTCTTCTTGACTGAGTTCGTGACTTGATTGGACGTGCTTTACTTGTATTGTGTGATTTCCGGAACCAATTCTTTGTCTCTACTTTGTCTTCTTGACTGAGTTTGTGACTTGATTGGACATGCTTTACTTGTATTGTGTGATTTCCGGACTACACTACACGATGTGTTCGTAAATTCATAACGATGTTCAGCTTCAGCATGAATTTTTAAGTGTAAAGCTACTCTTCTCTGTTTGGTTGTTTGTTCCTTTTGTCTGGTGTTTGGTTTGTTTTGTTTTGGTTTGATTAGTTCTTAATACTTCTTATTGATCTGGTCTGGTCTGGTTTGGTTTGGTTTGGGGTTTGGGGTTTGGTTTGGTTTGGTTTGGTTTGGGTTAGGTTGGCTTGGTTTTGGTTGTTTGTTTTGTTCGCTTTTCTATGTTACCAGAGTGGCCCGGGACGGCCGGGCCAAAAATGAATAATTAAAAAAAAATATATATATATTTTTGAGTCATGTGACCGCAGAAGTTGTTCGGTTTATTTTTCTGTGCAAATTTGTTTTTCTTTTCGGTTTCTTAGCTTTTTTTTTTTTTTTGTTTTTAAAATTTATAATCGAGGGAGCTGCCCTGGCCCTTGCCCGGCCAGGCGGCCCAGGCAACCAAGGTGACCGGGGTGGGCCGGTTGGTAACACAATTGTTTGTCTATTGCTTTGTTCGTTGGTAGGTCTGATGGTGGGTGGGCTGTGGGTTTTTTTTTTTTTTCATGTTGTTTTTTGAATCTAGGGTGTTCTGCTGTGGGGACCACCAGGTACTGGGAAGACTTTGATGGCCAAGGCAATCGCAGGAGAGGCACAGGTTCCATTCTTTGCCAGCAGTGGTACTGAGTTTGTTGAGGTAAAGATTGTTCATTAGATCGTAGGCGATGAATTTATGACGTGCATGTGCACACCCGCATCTCAAGTCGTCTGTGCTCTTCACGTCAGTTTTGTGTCTTTGACGTCAAAGTGTGAGTACAGTTTGTAAAGGGCGTGTAGAGGATTGCAGTGGAATCAACGGTTGTCGTCTATTCCAAGAATACCAAGCTGAGTCCTTCAATTAGAGTGTGACTCAGGCTGCACAATATGTAGGGCCTTCCTGCTTCTCTGCCAGGGTGGGTTAGGGGCACCGGAGGGGGAGGAGGGGGGGGGAAGGAATGACTCCTCCTCCTCCTCCTCCTCCTCCTAGTCTGCTGATGCTGCCTCCTTCTCTACTTGCTCTGCTTAGTCCCCCCCCAGGTAGGGGCCACAGATACGGGTACCGATGGGGCAACAATGTGGCCCGCATCGTCGTGTCCCCCATTGTCGTTCGTGGCCCCTTTGTCACTGTGGGCCCCTTTGTCCTTGTAGCCCTCATCGTCATGGCCCTTGCCACGGTGACCCCCTTGTCATCGTGGCCCTCATCATCACGGCCCCTATCGGCATCTCCTATCTAGAGGAGATGGTACAAAGAGAGGACAGCCAGCGAAGTTGGGCACACTGGTGCTGCGAACTGTCGATCAGAGCATGAGTGTCAGATACAGATGCGAAGGCGGGTGCACTTCAGGTGAATGGGTGGCCCTATCTTTGGAACCACTCGAAGTGTCATCCCAACTGAAGGACAGATTGTGGCCTTACCTTTGGGGCCTATCTGTGGCCCTTTAGATGGGTTGTGACTGTTTTATTACACTTTGTAGGGCTGCTCACAGATATAAAGTGCAGGGCCCCAGTTACAGACACACATATGTGGGTGTCTGTCGCCCTGTGCTGTGGGGATATGACCATGTGTTTGTCCCTGTTCTTTCCCCCTTTTTGTTTGGGTGAATGTGGTCCATCTTCTTCTTGATTTGTGCATATCATCCTTGCGCAGTGGCTCTGTGTTTGTCTTCTCTTTCTCTGTACTGATGTATCATTTGAATACACCATCGGACGTCTCAAAAAGCGGCATTTTGCTCTATGATCTACATCTCACTACGTCTCACGAGATCTCACTACTAAATATTATATATATATATATAGCCCCTCGTTTGTTGTCTTCTTCTCTCTCTCTGCCTACGGTTTACCGGGCAGTTCTGTTTGTGACGATGAGTCGGTGAAACTCCGACGAAACAGTTTGTCACAGCCCCTCGTTTGTTGTCCTCTTCTCCCTCTCTGCCAACGGTTTACCGTAGGCAGTTCTATTTGACGATATATATATATTGCAATGAGCCTCACTGCTCGACACCTTGAGCACACACACAGATTGAGAGATTACACGAGATCCACACTGGAGTCCAGAGATGCAAAGTCCAGATATGCGCAGCTTAGAAATTCCAACAAATTATCACATTAAACAGTTTCGGAGATCCAGTTACCAAGCGCTCAACAGCGCAGAATTCAGCAACCCAATACCAGCATCCTCATCTAAGGTAGGTGACTCTCTTCTCTCCCTGGCTCACTCTCTCCTTCTTTCTTTCTGTCTTCTCTCTCTCTCTCTCTCTCTCTCTCTCTCTCTC